ATTAGGCTGCCGCCCTGCTTGCTTACACGCTCAGAGAGAGAGAGAGAGAGAGAGAGAGAGAGAGAGAGAGAGAGAGAGAGAGAGAGAGAGAGAGAGAGAGAGAGAGAGAGAGAGAGTACTTCACTTATGGTGGAGGAGCTGACGGCATGGGTTCACACACATCGGTCATCACTGATGATGTGCCGTCGACCGGACAGGCCAGTGGCACTGCCAGAGGTGGTGGTCGTCGTGGACGACGTCCGAGTGCGGCCGACGTGTTAAAGCAGGAGCCACGGGAAGGCCTTCGGACGACGGGCAGGCGTTGGGAGGTTAGGAGCGACATCGAGCACGAGAGGGAGGCCGAGGAGGAGGAGGTGCCCCGTCAGGATCGTCGCTACTCTCCCTCCCATCATCGGACCACGTCACCGCCCGAGGCACTTAGGCGTTCGGAGAGGTTGGCGTCGACAGCAGGGAGAGAGCGGACGCATGACAGCGAGGACCGTGAGGGGGAGAGGACTCCTTTCGGCTCCGGTATCCGCCCCCGCTCGCCGTCGGAGCTTCGTACAGACGACTTTGACGTTGAACACACAGGTGGGGGCTTGAGGGATTTCAGCGATCCGGGACATCGACATGCCTCACCGTCAGAGGTGCCTACCGTCCACTTCGATTTGCATGGCCGTGTTGAGACCGAGGAGGAGCAGGATGCCCGCCTGGACCGAGAGGAGGAGGAGCGGCTGCAGACTTTGCCTGGATGGGAGGGTCGGTTCGCGTACCTAGAGGAGCAGCGCCGACAGAGGGACTTGGAGACAGGAGGGTGGGGCGGCTTTGACGCCGACGACGGGGGTGTCCCTAGGGAGCCGGTTCTGGCAGACTTGCGAGAGGGTTGACCCGGTGACGATATGGACGTGGGTGGCGTCGACGAGAGCGACACATCGGGTGACGAGGGACGGGATGTCGCCGCGGGTGGACGATCTCCCCATTGTGGAGGCGGTGGCGACGGCGAGACCGCTTGTGATGACGGAAAGGGTGCCGCCGTGTGTGGCGGGGGAGAGGGTGGACCCGGTGGAGATGGGGATACCGCAGTTGACAAGGGACAGGGTGACGCCGTGGGTGGTGGGGGAGACGATGGACCCGACGGAGATGACAACGACGAGCACGGTCGCGGGGACGATGCGTATAGGCTTGCATTGGTCTTGAGGGACCCCGCAGTCGCCCCCCTGCGCCCTGACGACAGAGCGCACACTTTCTTCGACGCCGACACTTTGGCGCAGGCGCTAATAGAAGACCCTTTCTCACATACGGGCCGCATGAGTGGCGACAGACGACCCGCTGAGAGGGTATATTCACTGTTGCCGTATGTAGTGCAGAGCCCTCGATGGTCTTGTTCGTCGCTTAGCGGCGTGAGAGGGAGGGAGTCCGGGGCGGTTGAGGTCGGGTCGGGCCGACGCAGTGACGGCGGCGGATGTGCAGGATCAATGCCTCCACCACCCGCACGGGCCGCAGAGGCGGGCGTCGACGCCGACGACGAGACGCCGGCACCCAGGATTGCGCACAGCAGCGCTTTCCCGCCACCAGTCCGAGGCGGTGTCGGCGGCGGATGGTTAGCTCATTGACGGGTCAGGGACCGCTTGAGGGCGGATTATGACGCCGGGAGGGGCGTCTTCGAGGGACGTTTGCCAGCTCAGACGTAGGCTGCGGAGGGTGGGTCCGGACGTCCGAGCCTTCACATGGCAGGCCGCATGCTCGGTTTGTCACGAGCGGCGACGAGGAGGTCATTGGTCCCCCAGGCCGCAGGGACATCGACGGACATGCAGCAGGGATAACTGCACACATCGGGCGAGGACGGGTTGTTGATGCGTCCCGGGACGAGACGACACCGCGGCATCACAGAGGTGGAGGCTCGACTCGCAGCAGAGGTCGCCGCCGACCAGGCAGCGTTGGACGCGATTCAGAGGCAGCGAGATACGGTTGTTGCACAGGCGGCAGAGGACGAGGACACAGACACAGAGCCAGAGCCGCTCGAGAGTGTGGTCCGCAGACGCAGAGCGGTCGTGGCCGCGGCAGCCGCTGCAGCACCGGCGACATACATCAGCGGTGTGGAGGGCACAGGTGCTGGAGGGAGAGGAGGTCGCGTGGGAGGACAGCATGGTCGATCGTCCTCGAGGAGAGGCCGCGCGTGTCCTCCTGCAGGGAGGGGCATGGGCCGCTCTTCTGGGAGGAGATGACGGCGTCAGTGTTGTTTTTTTTATTTCATTACTTTTTTTTTTTTTGGCTGGATATTTTTTTGGCAGGGTAGTTCCATATTTATGTTGATGTTGTTCCATGGAGATGACGACGTTATGTGGGCGTTAGGGTTTTTTTTTTTTTTTTTAGTTGCTCGGTGTTACGGTAGAGACGATGACGTCGAGGGGTGCGGTTTTTGGCTTTGGCCTTGTACATACGCATTTCCATTGAAATGATTTGTCACTGATTTGTTATTCTCCATGTTCCTCTTCCACCTTCGGTTTTGCATATGAGTCGTTGTTGTTTGGTGAGCGGTTTCTGGTTTGTTGTCGTAAACGTCCCCGACACAACAGGTATTGTTGTCGCAATGTTGCAAATCGTGTCTTTATCGGATGCCACGCACATGCATCTCATGGTTGCCCCCATTATGAATGTGTTGTGAATTTCGTATGCCAAACAGGGATGATATGCTAATGAATGTGTTGTTTCACGAACTTTCACCAGCCTCATGAATGAACACACACTGTGACACAATTGCCTGTTGACATTGTTTAGAACTTATGGTTGCCCGCATTGTGATTCATTGTGAATATTTTGCGACTTTGGTATGCGAAATAGGGTCTGACCTATGATTCCTATGAATGTGTTGTTTTAAAAAATTTCACGAACTATCGACACCCTCACGAATGAAATTGACACATGCCTGAGGCCCTCAGCTGTCTGGGGTCTGCTATCCGCACCCCCGCCCAGCCCCCACCTGACCCGCCCGCCCTGCCCGCCCCAACCCGACCCCCATCCAACCCCCGTTAACCCGCTCCCGCAGGGGTCACATATTTTTATTTTTATTTTTATTTTTCATGTGTTTCCGACCCTCTTCCCTGCGCACCTGCATCGACGAAACGCCACTCGCGGGACGCACAAATTTTCCCGGCCCGCCCTTCCAGGCCCATGTGTGGGACCCCCCCGTTTTTCATTTTTTCGACGGTTTGCCACTTCGAGGGGGTGCCCCCCCCCCCCCCCCCCCCCCCCCCCCCCCCCCCCCCCCCCCCCCCCCCCCCCCCCCCCCCCCCCCCCNCCCCCCCCCCCCCACCGTAAACCGCTCCCCGCTCCCAAAACCACCTCCCCGTTCGGTCGCGGCCTCGGCCGAAAATTCGCGGTCGGCCCGGCCGCGGCGAGGGGGAAACATAGGCCTTGCATGGTTACGTGTGTAAGAGCTGATTGTTAGTGACTCAAATTGGTAACATGATTTGATTGTATGATTGGAAGGGTTGCCTAGTAAGAAGTCCTATGGTGGGAGCAGACTCTATCAGGATAAGCCTAGGAGTAGAGGTAGTGTTTGTTAGATCTAAGGTGTGCAGGAGAGGTTTAGGGAGCCTGATGGAAGTACGTCAAGTCAGGTTGCTGAGTGAAGTCTTTTCCTTTTTTTATATATACAGGGAAGTGAGAAAGGAGCAGTCAGCCAAGATGTCGGTAGGTATGGGTGATGGTTAAAGAAAGGTCTTGACGCTCGACGACCTTATCGAAGCTCTAGACAGGCGAGAAAGGAGGCCGAGTAATGTTCCGAAGGTTGTTATGTTCCACTTCAATGGAGAGCGGGTCTCCGATTGGTTGGATCTGGTTGGGCAGACGCTGGTGGGGTTGTCAGATGAAGTAAAGTTCCAGTGTTTTTTTAGGTACGTCCTTCATGGGCATCATCAGGAAGTGGCCAAGGTTGTGGATGCTGCCAATGGAAGTTCGGCAAGGTTTAGGGATGAAAGCTTGGACTAGGTAGAGCAGCACCAGATGCGCCTACAAAGGCGGAAGAGGGAGGAAAGGGGCGCCACCGCATCTGGGAGCCCAAAGAAGAGAGAAGCAGTTGTGCCCTCTGTTTTGTGTATATCTTGGCTAAGTTAGGCATGTCCCATAAGTTTGGGTGGTCTTTTTTTACGCCTTATGTAAACTCGGTATAAAGGGATAAATCATTTAAAGACTACTAACTATTTGTTTAATAAGGTTGACTTGGGATGATGAGAGTACTTACTTCTGTGGTTTGGCTTGCATGTGACCAAGTGGGGCTACTACTTAGTCCCAGTTTCAGTTTGATAGGGAGTTGCTTTAGTTACTCGCCACGTGCTAGAGCTATAAACGTTAATTTCAATTCCTGCATTTTCTGAGCTAAGTTTTTTTACTCAGATCAATTTCAGCATTTTCGGGGTTCTTTTATTTATACTTGGTCTTGTATAAATATTGGTAAGTCATTTTCTCTACGGGAAGCGCTGCCGAAATTTCAACAAAACCAAGGAGTTAGTCAGACTTTGTATTTTTTTAGGGTCCAATTCTTTCTGACTTTTTGGCTTAATAAAAATCTGGGAAGCCTCCTTTTCTAAAGGGAGTGCTGTCCAAATTTTTACTAATTCAAGGAGTTAGACAAAATTTGACCTTGAAAAGACAAAGTCATTTTAGATCATGAACTTAGCTTTGTATAAATCTTGGAATAACGCTTTCTCTACGGGAAGCACTGCCAAAATTTCTACAAATCTAAGGAGTTAGTTAAATTTTGTCTTGGTCGAGCTCAGATCTTGTTTCCTGAGTTCATATCTGACTTAGTATAAAGCTGGGAAGTCTCCCTTTCTAAAGGGAATGCTACCCAAATTTTTACTAATTCGGGAAGTTAGACAAAATCTGACTTTGGAAGGTTGAAAACTATCTTTCGTTTCCATATTTAAGCTGATACAAATTCTGGAAGGGCACTTTTCCAACAGGAAGCGCTACCGAAATTTTTCTAATTTAGAGGGGTTAAACTATATTTCTGCAGGTGGCAATTTTGGCAATCCATCTTAGATAGAGAGGATGATGCCAAAGGTCTGCCTTTTTCTTGGGCACGTGCCCAGAGATAGACCTAAGCTTGGTTGTCAGAAGGATTTTCGTAAGAACGTGATATGGAGATTATTCCTTGTGCGCTTATAAGCTTAGCTTGGGCATTGGCCTGTTTTGTACTACATGTCCTTCTTTAAACGATTCGATTCAAGATTTTGGACTAGATTCAGCTTGATCTCACGAGGATCACGTTCTGTTATCACTGATAACAGGTCGATTGCCGATTCGTTAGTCTACGACTCAACTCCCATTCATCTTCAATACTCAACATAAAAGGCTTTAGTCCTCAGGCTGGTGATTTTATTGTCTTATTAAGGTTTCACCCGGACTTTTATTGAATGGTCATTTAACACAGGTACTGAGTATTTAATTATGGTTGGTTGGACAAGAGGCTGGGGCTTGCATGGCTAAAGCGAGGGGTATGGGTATAAAGATTGGTTGGAGTTGACTCCGTGTAGTGTGTGGGCTCTTGCTTGACTCTTTGATGTGATTGCGGGTGTGTTGGGTGGTTCGGATTTGGATTGGTCTGCCTGTGATCATACATATGTATATGTGGTTGTGAGGAGTCCCACTGTGACTGCGAAAAGTGATCGTCACATACTTTATTCCCCTTATAAATATATAAAAATTTATGTGTACCTATGTTGGAAGTTCACGTGACTCGAGGGGCCCGCGTATTAAGAATTAAATAGGGGTTGAGATTGAGAAAATGGAGAAAGACCCCTCCATTTCTTTTGTACTTCTTAATAAATTATTAGTCGGACGTTGGTTCTGGGCCGGGATTCGAGGTCCTTGTCTAGGGCATCCCAAGCCCCACACTCTGCTAGGAAGGAATCTGCCCCCATGCAGAGCCTATTTGCCTTGCCTGCTGAGACGCTCAGGCCAAAGGCCCAAGGTCTCGCGATGGCCGCACGACTGTTCCTTCAGCCGTGCAATGTCGTGACCCTCACGACATTTCGAGTCTGACACTTGAGTGTCATAAGCGGTCCTCGGATCCATGAGGGACCGCTTGATTATGGACACTACATAGTACGCCATCTTCGCAACTGCTTGCGCATTCATGCATTGCTAATCGATATGAGTAAACCCTGCGGCCGCGCGGTTTTATACTAAGTATCGCGCGCGTCGCTTGTCCGATTTCCACGATAGAGAATTATGGGATGGCAACTAAGAGACTAGAAGATTTGTCGTATTGTTTGTCCTCTGTTGTTTTGTATATATACGTGCATATGGTGTGTGTGTTTTTGTTTTGATGTTCTTACAGTGGTGTGTGCGTGGTGAGTAGGATGCGTCCTAGTCGACCGACGAGGAGTCGCGCTTGGGACCTTAGCACCCCGAGATGCTGGTTCGCGTGCGGGTTCGATGGAAGCGTAATACCACGCGTACCGCCTATGCTACATCGAACGAGAAACGCTCTCGGCTGGTCCACCTCTGCTATTGCAACTGATCAACTTTCGTATTGTGAAATGGTAGTTCGGCGGGGATACGCCCACTGAAGGGAGGTGACAACTCCCGTAAGGCGGAGGTAAGTCGTGCCTCGTGTAGGCCCTATCCTATCGTAGGGGCTCGCGAGAGGAATGGCTGGCGCACTAAGTCGGAGCGGCTTAT